GTGGATTCAGCAGGAGGTTCCCTTGCTCATGTTTAACCTGAAGCCATAAGGCTTCATGGGGCCCACAGTCAATGTTGAGGATTCTTAGGGCAACACCCTCCCGACTGTATATTACTGTGTTGCCACCTCTGCTGGGTCAGTCTTGCAATGGAACAGGATATATCCAGAGATGGTGATGGCAGTGCCTAGCACATTGTCTGTAAGGTATGATTCCGGGAGAATGACCACATCAGGCTGTTACTTCACTAGTCTGTGAGACAGCTCTCCCAATTTGAGCACTAGCCACAGATGTTAGTGAGGAGGACTTTGCAGGGTTGACAGGTCTGTTTCTGCCGTTGTCTTTTCCGGTGCCTAGGTTGACGCCAGCTGATCCATCCGGTTTCATTTCTCTGAGACTTTGTAGCGATTGATACAACTGAATGGCCTGCTGGGCCATTTCAGAGGGCAGTTGAGAGTAAATTACATTGCTGTGGGTCCAGATGCACATGTAGGCCAGATTAGGTGAAGATGGCAGATTTCATTAATGAACGAGATGGGCTTTTCCTACAATCAACAATGGTTTCACTGTCATCAGTAGATTCTTAAATCCAGATTTTTTTTTAATGAATTCATATTTCCACCATCTGCCATGGCAAGAATTGAACCTGGGTTCCTAAATCATTAGCTGAGTTTCTAGATTAATAATCGAGTGATAATACCACTAGGCCTTTGCCTCCCAGTATTATAAATAAACAGATTCTAATCACAGGTAAGCTATGAACTGTCAACATAAATTCTACTAGTTAAATTTGTAAACACTTTCTAAACATTTTCCCCTGCCCTACCCCAACAACACATGCGTACGGACAGACAATAAAAGAACAAAAACAATGGATGGAGGGGGATAAAAGAATGAGGATGCAATTTAATTAACTGAAATGATCTTTTAGCTTGCCAAGATTTTCTGATCTATCGTCTCTTTTCTCTACGTTCTTTTTACTCCTTTGCAAGTGGCACAAGCCACTGGTGCGATAACTGCAAAATCTCTTAGTTATTGGTTAAATAAACAGCTTTACAGCAGTTGGTAAGGACAAATAAACTGGCTTTCCTTAGGTTTTGGGTATTTTACTGGAGAGAAAGACACATCTGTATTTGCAGAGGTCCAAAAGCTTCTGTCAGTATATGTCATAATCTGTTCAACTACCCAGGAGTAAATCAGATAGTCACTGTCAGGCTGATGATCTTTGGAATCTACACCTGGTTACAACTCCAAAGCCAATCAGCAACCTGTTGCTGAATGAAACTCGCTCAGCGTACAGCCCCATGTGCCAGCCATCTGCAAAGGGCCTCCTCTACTGCTGGAACAAAGCAGCTGTAGAAACACAACTTACAATGAGTTTCAATAACTGATTTTTAAAAGTACAGCAATTCTATCCCTAACCCTCGGCTTTAAAAGAATCCTTTTCTGATTTCAGTCCACAATGAAAAACACAGAAAAATAAAAATACAGTCTTTACAAACATTTCAAGGCAATCCTCCAGAAGAAACATCTTTCGCAAACGTTACTATCCCAGCTGATGTTTTCACTGGACAGGTCAGATCCCAGAGTGAAACCTGGTTTGACTGATCATACTTTGTTTTGGTTTGGTTTTAATGAAGTTGCTTCTTGTTAAAACATATGCATGCAATGCTGAGTTCTTGTTTTAACAATAAAACAGAAGTCTATTAACAAAAGAAATGAAGATAAAGATAGAATAAAGCATACTATCTACTTATAATCCAAATTCAAGGATTTTTCAATATACAGTAAAAGCATAATCACATTAAACCCAAAACACTCCTTTAAAAATAAAAAAAACTTTTGTGTAGGACGCAAAACACACCTTGTACAGTACCCAAAATCACTTCATGTAGTAACCATTAATCACTTATGATTTTAACTTATTTAGTGGAACTACAGATAGCCTCTTCCTGGAGCTATTAGACATAAGCTTAAATATACTCAACTTTTAGTAACTTCTTCAGGATTTTATCACAACACTTCCAGTCTGGTATTAACACTAACTCTTTACTCCAAAGTAATCTAGTTTCACTATAACCTTCCCTGATCTATCCAGCCATTGTCATGCAAGAACTTTACAGGGCTGCCCAAAACTCAAAGTAAAACAAAAAAACCTCCCTCTCCAAGCTGGTGTTCCCCTCAAGCCTAAAAACAAACAGGTTCCAGAAATCTCTAATGACCCTTGAGGCCCATTATTTATCTTGCTGAGTCACAAAACAATCTAAGGTGAACAAAAATCTATTAGCGGTGCACAAAAACCCATTTATCCTAAAGCCAGGCTTCAAAAACAGTTTTAAAAGAAATCACCATGGCTACAGAAATACTTAAGTTAATTATTAATTTCAGAATCCAAAAAAAACAAAATGTTACCAAGTCACACAGTTTACATCAAACAAATCACAGAACCAGACACCTGATTGCGCAGAGCTGTAACGCCAAACCACCACCAAAGAGCTATCCTATTGTAAAGCCTGCTCAATTCAAATTGGTGGAAAAAGAATTATATGAGGTATGCCATAATTGCAATGGCCCTTAAAATCCCACAAGTAGCTGAACAAATTACTAAATCTAAATGCACAAGTAGCATGAAAACAGACAAATCATTGTAATTCATCTTGACAATCAGCTGCTACACTAAAATAGGGGTAGGCAATGACCTAGTGGCCTTATCGCTACACTATTAATACAGACACCTAGGTAATGTTCTGCTAACCCAGGCTTGAATCCCTCCATTGCAGATGGTAGAATTTGAATACAATAATAATCTTTTTATTTTATTCATTCATAGAAATAAGACTTAATGATGACCATGAAACATTGCCGATTGTTATAAAAACACGCATGTGGTTCACTAATGTCCTTTTGGGAAGGAAATCTTCCATCCTTACCTGGTCTGGCCTACATGTGACTCCAAACCCATATCAATGTGGTTGAGTCTTAACTGTCCTCTGGGCAATGAGAGATGGGCAATAAATGGTGTTCCAGCCAGTGATGCCCACATCCCACAAATGAATTAAAAAGTAGAGCAAATCAGAAAAGGTTGGAAAACAAGTGAAATAAAAATATTCAAATGCTCAGGTTGTTGGAAACATCAACAATTTGAATGTGTGTGCTTAATGTGACCCAAACAGAATATTAGGCTGACATGTTTAAACACATTTGTATAAAACAATTTGACTTTAAGAACAAGACCAGGAATTAAGGTCAGAACTGAGGACTGGAGACAATCAAATTTCAAGAAAATTTCTGTTCAACAGGAATTAATTGAGTTAAAGATCAAATGAATTACATTATATTTTGGCAAGAACTGTGTTCCTGGATCTCGGTACGATCTGTTTTTGTATTCACTAGATTTATACCAGAGTTTAAAGGGTTACTTTATGAGAATGTATTGTATAAACCTGTCATCTCGCATTCTCTGGCCTTTAGAAGGTTATGAGGTGATTTAACTAAGGTTAAATGACAGAGGCCTATGAAGCAGACAAGAAGAAATGATCTATTCTGGGGTGAAGATGGAATCTAGAATAAGGGGCAGAACCTTAAAATTATAAATAAAGATAAAGGTAGCAAAGTAATTAAAACAAAGTACTGGAATTACTCAGTAAGTCTGATCACATACGTGGAGGGGAAAAAGAAACACCATTAATGTTTCAGGTCTGTGTCCTTTCACCAGAACAGGGAAGAGAACATATGTATAATATATTTTATAATCTTTGGAACTGTCTAACACAAGCAGTTAAGAATGCTCAATTATGGGTATATTCCAGATAGACCTAACAGATGTTTCGATACTAAGAGGTTCTGAACATGGAAGCAATGCAGGAGGGTGGGACTGAGGTGTAATCTTGCTCGTGATTCTTATAAAATCCAAAAGAACTGCAGATGCTGTAAATCAGAATCAAAAATTAGAAGTTGCTGGAAAAGCTCAGTAGGTATGGTAGTATCTGTGGAGAGAAATCAGAGTTAATGTTTCAAATAGAACATAGAACATTACAGGGCAGTACAGGCCCTTCGGCCCTCAATGTTGCGCCGACCTGTGAAACCAATCTGAAGCCCATCAACCTAAACTATTCCATTATCATCCATATGTTTATCCAATGACCATTTAAATGCCCTTAAAGTGGGCGAGTCTACTATTTTTGCAGGCAGGGCATTCCACGCCCTTACTACTCTCTGAGTAAAGAACCTACCTCTGACATCTGTCCTATATCTATCACCCCTCAATTTAAAGCTACGTCCCCTCGTGCTAGCCATCACCATCCGAGGAAAAAGGCTCTCACTGTCCACCCTATCTAATCCTCTGATCATCTTGTTTGATGAATTGAGTGACCCTTCCTTAGAATCTCATGCTTCTTATATTCAAGGCATATTGAGGAAAGCTGCATGAATGATATTGTTTACTTGATAAATAGCTCAATATTAACTACCTGACTTGAGTGAAAAATTGCTCGGACATAAACTGTACAAAAATGTCTCACCTTTCTAATATCTTGAAGTCTGCTAAGCATCAGTTCCAGTTGAGAAAGCACCACACATTGCACTAGAAAGGAGCATGAAAGAAAAAGTATATTAATAAATCTTTTTTTTCTAAATGAGGACTTCAACTTTATTGCCCCAACAACAACTCAACAAAATCTTTTTGGTTTTGGAAAATAGATTTATTTCTTATAGTGAATGCAGTCACCAAACTGGCAGGTCAACTTGCTGAACGTGTCTCATTCCTATCCACACCAGTTTGTTGGTAGGTTTTCTATTGTTTTAGTGGAAGCAAATTGAAAGTGGGAAAATCCACCAAAGCTATCTGCTAAACCATTTCCCAGTATTGGTTTAAGGCACCGAGACCGGCCATTCCACTCATCTGTTCCATACTGGTACTTACACCACACCAACATGCCCACAACCGACAACATATTCTTCGATTCCTTGGCTGTCATGTTTCCTACTTTGAAAGTACTTCACTGTTTGACACGCCCCATAGTCATGAATGGCATCACGTAAATGCAAGGATTTCTTCCCACGTGTTTATCTAGCTTTTCTTTAAATTCATTTCTGCGCGTTGCTTCAGCTACACCAGTTGGTAGCAAACTCTATATTTTCACCATTCTTTAGATAAAAAAGTTTCTTCTGAATTCCTTACAATGCTTATTCATGACCATCTAATACTTATGACCCCTTATGTTGAATTTCCTTACAAATAAAAATCTGTTCTGATATAGGCCCTTGTGTTCAAGGATGACTTACTTCTGCACTAACAATGAATTTTCAGATAACTGAAGAATCCACTGCACGGCCTCCAGTCTCTGTTACAGGTGGGTTAGCCGGTAGTTCAGACAGTTGGGAGTGAAGGATGCCTGGGCTCCCACACACCTTCCTCTGTCGATAACTGGCTTCAGACTATCATCAGCAACAAGATTCAAGGTACTCCCAGATGATTTCCCTCCATTTTCAGCAGTCCTTGGGCAGAAATTCCTAGGTCTGCCTTTTCAGCAAGATTTTGAGGATGATCTCAAAGTGGTTCTTCTGCCCTCTTGGGGATCCCATGTTGTGTTGAGCCCTGAGTGTTTATTTCAGGAGTTCCAGCTGACATGCGGAACAGACTTGATGGGCCCAACAGCCTCTTCTGTACTGCATGACTCTATGATTCTATAACACATGGCCAGCCCAAAGGAGCTATTTCTGGTGTGATCAATGTTTCGATACTGGGCATGTTTGCCTGAGCGAGAACACGGATATTGTTACTGCTCGATATGTTTGATAAGCTGATCCTGATTCTAAGGGCGAGAGAGACCATCAGTTGGGGAGGGGAATGGAGCTGGGGCTGTTTCACTTGGGTTTGATCAGGCCAGTGGCCACACTCCTCACTTCACTAGGCCTGAGGCCTGAGTCTTGCACAGCTGCACTTCTGCCATTTCTAGGAAGCTACAGTTAGATTCTACCCACATATTAATTCAGTCTAGGGGAAACACAACATCAATAGCTGGTTAGTGAGGCCACACTGCATTATTTGAAGTCTTCCTAATTTGCCCAGCCACCAGGTGGAAACCACAAATAAAAATATCTTGTGTCTGTTTACCCAAAAACCTCTTTCAATATCAAGATCTTGTACAAATATAGCACTTATAATGCAGTAAAATATTCCAAGGTACTTCACTGGTGTCAAAAGGGATATTAAGGGATTTCAAGAGTTTGATAAAGAAAATGCTAGGTACACAACATTAAAAACAGGGCGGCACCTCAAAAGTATTGTGTATGTAGGGGGTTGTTTAAAAAAGAAATTATGAAAGAGGGTTATGAAAGAGATTATGAAATATCTTTGGTAGATAGGATTAAGGAAATGCCCCTAAGGCACTTTATAAGTATATTAAGAAGATTACCAGGGAAAGAGACCAAAGGAGTAACCTAAGCGTGGAACCAGTGGACATGGGTGAGATTTCAGACTAATATTTCTCATCTGTCTTCACAGAGGAGAAAGACATTGTAGCTCAGGATTTCAGTTGGGATGGTGAGGGTCAAGAAAACGTTAAAATTACTGAGATTATTAGATGTTTTAGTGAGCACAGAGGTCCATAAATCCCCTGGGCCTGATGAGATACATCCCAGGCTGGTATGAGAGGCGAAAGAGGAGATTGCTGGGGCCTTGATGGACATATTTAATATTTCATTGAATACAGGTGAAGTGCTACTTGCTAGAAGATAGCGATTGTAGTTCCTTCAAGAAGGACAGCTGAGATGGGCCAGATAATTACAAACCAGTTAGCCTGATGTCAGTGGTAGGGAAATTATTGGAAAAAATTCTGAAGTACAGAATTAATCAACACTTGGAAATGCAGGGATAATCAGTTCAAATTTGTGAGAAGGAGATCCTGTCTGACTATTATCGTGTCAAGGGCTTAGAGAGGGCAGATTTCTCTAAACGTATCCAAGGGAAATTTTTGTATCAATATGTAGAAGGCCCAACACGGGATGGCGCAGTGCTGGATCTGGTTCTGGGAAAAGAAGCCAGACAAGTGCTCGATGTGGCAGTGGGGGAACATTTTAGCAATAGCGAACATAACATGGTACGGTTTAAATTTGTTCTAAACAAGGAAAACGGTGGCTTGCAAAAGATAGCTTTGGATTGGGGGAAGGCAGATTTTATTAGAATAAAGCAGGATCTCGTCACAGTAGACTGGGAACAGCTCCGTGTGGGTAAGTCTACGGTGGAGCAATGGGGTCATTCAAAAAGGAACTAAGAGAGTACACGTCCAATATTACCTTCAGAGGGAAATGTAGGAGCAATAAATTCAGAGAATCCTGGATGTCTAGGACAATTAAGGGCTGGATAAAGAAGAGGAGCAGGGTTTTTAGCAAGTCTAAAGGGAGCAATTCAGCTGTGACCCTAGAGGATGTGCAAGAGGGAACTTAAGAAAGTAATTAGAAAAGCAAGAACAGAGCCTGAGAAAGGATTTGCGAACTCTCTCCCAGGATTAGGGAGAATCCAAAGATAGTTTACAAACATATTAAAGGGAAGAGGTTAACCAGGGAAAGAGTAGGGCCCATTCAGTATTGGTAGGATAATGAATGAATGCTTTTACCTTTGGTTTTTACACTGGAAAAGGAGAATGTAGGTATGGAATTCAGGAAGAGGGACTGTGAAGAACTTTCAAAGTTTGACATCAGAAATAGTGAGGTATTGGAGGCTCTGCTGGGCTAAAAAACAGACAAATCCCCTGGCCCAGATGAATTGCATCCCTGCTGCTGTGGGAGACGAGGCAGGAAATTGCAGAGGCTTTGACACAAATTTTTAATTCCTCTCTGGCCATGGGTAAAGTGCCGGAGGACTGGAGGACGGCTAATGTGGTTCCACTTTTCAAGAAGGTGGTGGAGATGAACGAGGAAAGTACAAACTGGTGAGTCACATATCAGTTGTCAGGAAAATACTGGAGAAAATTAGGGAAGAGCGAATTAATTCCCACATGGAAAGGCATGAGATAATCAGGGATAGTCAGCATGGCTTTGTCAGAGGGAGGTCATGCCTAACAAATTTGTTAGAATTTTTTGAAAATGTGATCAAGTGTGTAAAAATGGGAGTTCAGTTGATGTAGTCCATATGGATTTTAGCAACGCTTTTGACAAGGTCCCATGTAGGAGACTGAGAAGGTGAAAGCACATGGAATGGAGGGAAACTTGGTGAGACGGATCAGAAACTGGCAGAGTCATAGGACACAGGCAGTGGTGGTAGAAGGCCAGTGTCCAGCAGTGTACCACAAGGATCAGCACTGGGACCCTCGCTGTTTGTTATATACAAGAATGTTATTGATGAAAACATCAGGGGGAATGTTAAGTAAATTTGCAGATGACATCAAGATTGGTAGAGTGGTCAATGGCAAAGATGATTGTAGGTTACAGGAAGATATTGATGGGTTGGTCAGAAGGGCAGACCAGTGGCAGATGGTGTTTAACTCTGATAAGCGAGAGGTGATGCACTTTGAAGGAAAAAACAAGACAAGGGAGTCTTTAATGAATGGCAGGACACTGGGTAGCTTAGAGAAGCAGAGGGATAATGATTCACAGATCCCTGAAGTCGGCAGAGCATATGAATAGGATAGTTACAGCGGCATATGGGACACTTGCTTTCATCAGTTAAGGCATGGAGTATAACAACAAGAAAGTAATGTTGAAGGTGTACAAAGTGTTAGTCAGGCCACAACTGGAGTACTGTGTGCAGTCTGGTCACCTCACTACGGGAAGGATGTGATTGTACTAGAGGTGGTACAGAGGAGGTTCAACAAGATGTTACCTGGGATAGAAAAATTAAGCTACAGGGAGAAATTAAATAGGCTTAGATTGTTTTCTTTACAGTACAGAAGACTGAAGGGAAACGTGATTGAGGTGTATAAGATTATGAGGGATATGGACAGGGTGAGTAGACAGCAACTGTTCCCTTTGTTTGAGCGGTCAATCACGAGAGGGCATCGTTTTAGAGTAAGGGCAGGAGATTAGGAAGGGTTTTGGGGAAAAACCTTTTCACTCAGCGGTCGGTGGGAATATGGAATGCACTACCGGGGAAGGTAGAGGAGGCCAGAAACCTTACAACCTTTAAAAAATATTAGAAAAAGTATTTCAAATATCACAACATTCAAGGATATGGAATGTGCAGGAAATTCAGATTAGCGCACCTCTAGTGATAGTTATGTCATGCAGGCATGATGGGTCAAAGGGCCCTTTCTGCACTGTATGAATCTATAATTTAATTGGGTTTTTGAAAAGATGACTAAATATATTGATGAGGATAGTGTAGTTGGTGTGGTTTATACCAACTTTGACAAAGTCCCACATGGAAGGCTCATCCAAAAGCAAAGAGCCCATGGGATCTAAGGCCAGTTGGCAAACTGGATCCAAAATTGGCATGCAGATAGGAGGCAAAGGCTGATGATGGAGGGTTGTTTTTATGATTGGAAGCCTGTGACCAGCAATGTACCACAGGGATCAGTGCTGGTATCTTTGCTGTTTGTTATGAACACTAACAATTTGAATATAGAAGGTAGAATTAGAAAATTGGCAAATGACATAAAAATTCGTAGTGGCGTTGTTGATGAAGTGGAATAGTCTCAAGCTACAGTTTGATATTGATCAGCTGGTAAACTGGGCAGAACAATGGCAGATGGAACTTAACCTTGGTAAGCGTGAGTGATGCATTTTGGGAGTTCTAATAAGTGAAGGACATACATGATGAACAGTACTAGGGGTTACTGAGGAACAAAGGAACCTCGGTGTATAAGTCCTTAGATCGCTGAAAGTATCAGGGCAGGTAGACACAGTTGTGAAAAAGGCATACAGGATGCTTGCCTTTATTAGCCGGGGTATACAACATAGGAATAAGGAAGCCTTATTACAACATTTAAAAACCTCATGGAATACTGTGTGCAGTTCTGGTCATCACACTATCGGAAGGATGTGATTACACTGGAGAGAATGTGGATGAGATTTACCAGGATGTTGTGTGGGAGGAGAAGTCTCAGTTGTGCGGAGAGACTGGATTGGCTGTGTGCGCTTTCCTCGGAGCAGAGGAGGCTGAGAGGGAATCTGATTGAGGTATATAAAATTACAAGAGCTTAAACAGTATAGATCATGACAGTCTCACAATGGGTCTAAGACCAGGGGCATAAGTTAAAGGTGAGGAGTACGTGGTTTACGGGAGGTCTGAGGAAATACTTTTTCACCCAGAGGGTGGTAAAAATGTGGAACGTGCTGCTTGAGAGGTAGTGGAGGCAGGTACTCTCGCAATATTTAAGAAACACCTGGATGAATACTTAAACTGTCAGGGCATGGTAGGCTATGGACCAAGTGCGGGTAAATGGGATTAGTTTGGTGGTTGTTGGTCGGCATAGACATGGTTGGCTGAAAGACCTGTTTCTATGCTGTATGACCATGACTCTAAACCTTGATATAGAGCCACCTAAATAGATATTAGGTCAAATGGGAAGAGTTAGATTTTGAGGAGGATCTTAAAGGAGGAAGGGGAGATGGGGAGATTTAGGTAATCCAGATTTTCATAAATGAAAAGACCTCCAAAGCCTTTACTTCTCAAGGTATGTTATAGTTATACAGAGTTACTGCATCTGTAACTGTATTACCAAAACTGTACTCAGTTCTGGCCACTGCACATAAACAAGGATACATTGTCCTTGAAGAGGGCAGTGCAGATTCACTATAACACAGGCAATAAAGAGGTGATGAGGTCAGGTTACTGAACCCAAGCTCGTATTCCCCTGAACATGGAATATTAAGAGGTCATTTAATGAGAATAAAACCATAAGAAACATAAGCAGTAGGAACAGGAGTAGGCTCTTTGGCCCTTCAAGCCTGGTCTGCAACTCTTCGCATCCACTTTCCTGCCCTGTCCTCAGCTTTAAATATACAGAAAGATTCTGCCCTACGGGTCTCTGTGGCAAGAAGATCCAAAGACACTCAACAATCAGAGAAGAAATTTTTCCTCATCTCAGTCTTAAGCTGGCAATCCTTCATTCAGAGACAATGCCCTCTGGTGTCAGAGATTCTCCCATGACAGGAAACATTCTCTCAAAATTTACCCTGTCAAGCCACTTAAGAATCTTCTATGTTTCAATGATATCACCTTTCATTCTTTTAATCTCCAATGAGTAGAGTCCTAACTTATTCAACCTTTTCTCGAAAGACAATCCCTCCATACTGGGGATCATCCTATTGAACCGCTTCCAATGAAATGATGCCTTTCTTAAATAAGGATACCTAACCTGCTTATAGTACTCTAGATCTGGTCTCACCAGTACCTTGAGATAGTAGGAACTGCCGATGCTGGAGAATCTGAGATAACAAGGCGTAGAGCTGGATGAACACAGCAGGCTGGGCAGCATCAGAGGAGCAGGAAATCATTTTCTGAAGAAGGGTCCAGACCCGAAACGTCAGCTTTCCTGCTCCTCCGATGCTGCCTGGCCTGCTGTGTTCATCCAGCTCTACCACCTTGTTATCTCACCAGTACCTTGTACAGTTGTAGCAAGACCTCCCAACTCTTATACTCCAAACCTCTTGAAATGAGGGACAACATTCCATTAGCTTTCCTGATTACCTGCTGCACGTGTGTGCTAGCTCCTTTGAGTTGCAGCTTTCTGCAGTTTTTCTTCATTCAGTCGTTTAATAAATTTATAGGGCAGATAGCAAGAAAGGGGCAGAATATTAAAATTGGAACCAGCTTGATATCAGGAAATGTAAAAAATATTTTACATTGAGGCCCCTTTCTTCTGTGACACACAAAGTCGAACTTATTGGATGGTGTCGACCTGAGTGTGGCCTTTCAGTTTAATTCACAGAGGACCATATACAGGTTTACTAATTCTAATACTCATTCAAGCACTTTAGTCCAAATAATGTATTTTGTGCACATTTTAGTTAATGAATGCAGTACTTTAAATCAGTAGTAATAACATGGGCTTCAGCTCTTAAAAATATCAGGCCACATCTAAAATGAAACTTGTTAAAAGAAAACACCAAAAAAGAAAATTAAAAATAGTGGACAACTCGCACATACAGTGAATGAACAGAAAGGTAGGCACAAATACACAAACTGACAAAAAATCCAGCGAGAGGCACATACCGTCAAAACTCAACACATACACTGACCAAATATACAGCTACACAAACAAAACGCACAGAGCCAGATATGCTGCAATAAACACTCTCACATATTGACTTAAAAAGACAGGCATTTTGACAAAAACACACAGGGCCGAATCATAACATGTTTTGACAAAGCTTCATTTTCATTCAGTCTCAGGGAGTGTGCTGTTGCTTGTGCTATTGCCCCAAACTCACTTCATTAACCAGTTACCATGCCCCTATGGTGCCAGCTCAATTCTCCCATTTGGTATAATCAGAAGTACTCCTCACTCCTAGAATACCCTGGGATACCTGGCACTGGTGCTGTCTTTATAAACTCAGTAAGGCACTGTCAGTCCAGAGATGCCCTGCACGGTTCATGATATTTGCTTCAGTCACAGAAAATAAGGAGCAAACTGGCACTCTGCTTTGCGACAGGGACCCAGAGATCCTGCTGAACAGGGTAGTGCACAGGACGGATGTCCTCTTCGTCCAGGACCAGCAGAGGAAGCCATGACATCAGATGTTATGAGCCGTCTCATCCATCTGAAAGATGCACAGCACTGTTGGAAGAAGATCAATGACCTTCTCTGCCTTGCCATAATAAGTGTCACACTCTTCTTTCTGTTACCACACCCACCTCCCACCAATGTCTAACCATTCTCACTACTGCATGCAACATCTTCCCTCACTCGCACTTGATGGGCGATAGGAGGGCTGACATTCAGCTCCTCACCCCTTACAAGGACAGAGATCTGACCCTGACTGTCTCCAGTGGCCAAATGGACATGCCCAAGCCTGGAATTATATCAGAGGTTGTTCTTCACTTACTGGGCTGGGTCTCCCTGACAGAAGGGTTTCTCCCTTGATTTGAGTGAGGTTTACTCCCCTTGGATTTTGGGAACTGCTGTTTATTTGAAGTATATGTGTGTGTTTGCCACATAAGCTGCTGGTACATGATGCAGTCAGATTGACAAAGGATAGTGCCTTGACTGCTGACAATCATCCTAGCTTTGAGACTGTCCTAAAAAGCAAGTCAAGTACTGTGCATCTGTTTGCTCTTGCTGAGCGGGGTAAGTGCTAAAAGGCAAGGTTAGGTAAGGCAAAGCAGGGATGCTGCGAAAATCCAGGTAACTTAAACTGAGTGAGTGGTAAGACAGCAAGTGACCAGCCCTGAGATGCAGCCTGCTCCAATCAACAAGGTGGGTGCCTGTCACTGTGCACAAAGTAGTCTTGCAATGAGAAATGCCAGTGCGCAAAGTGCAGAAGTGTACTGTAACTGCATCAGATGAGCCATGATGATGTGAGGAGGTTGGCATGTGTTGCAAGCCAACTTCTGCGGATAAGGGGAGTGTGTAGCACTGCCCTGAGCCTGTCCTGAGACTTTGGATGCCTGGGTACCCAAGAGTGATTCAGGAGTAAGCAGTGAGCTGGAATGACAAACTAACTGCTTTGATTTTCCCATTGAGGTCTCTTGGCACTTACTTGCTATCCAGCAGGTGGCAGGATGGGAGCCTGTATATTAATGAGGTAAGACTGGATAGCAATGAGAGTAATAATGAGTGATACTCCCCATTAATAGGCCTTCTGTCACTCATCAGCAAGAATTTCATCACAAAGTTCAGAACATGTGACTTGTTATTCCCAACGTCAAGAAAGGTCTCACTTGATTTCTCTCATGATCCTCCCAAACTTATCACCATTACCCACATCATTCATAGCCTGGTAAGATTCAAGCCACGGACAGAAAAGAGACAAACAGGTGAAGACTGACACACACAGACAGAGGGGCACTCTCTTCTTCAGTGTATTGACGGTTGCACAGATTCAACTGTATTGAAATCTTACCCTGTTTACAACCCATAAGTACCTCAACTAATTCAAAATCTTCAATATTTTCATCCTGCAAAAGCAAGCACATTTCAGTGTCATATTAAAGCACAAGATGTTCAGCTATCTTTTAATTTTATTCTAAAATAATGTTAATGCTCACACAGGTAGTTGAAGCTAGCTTTAGACATTTAAAGATTGAATTTTTAATGTTGCATAGCTCAGGGTTGGGATCGGTACTAGACAGGAGCAGGCTCTTAACCTTGGAGAAGGGTCAACAAAATGTCAACTTCATGGATCATTTTCTGCCTCCAAGCCTTGTTGTTTCAACGAAGGGAAAACTGGGTTGGGATCCCTGAATTTGGCAGAGTTATCTTCTCAGTTATAATTATTTTTGTTTCTACCACATCTGGATCCCCATTACCCTCTTTAAAAATATCCTTTAATTCCCCACCCTCCTCAAGTTGCAATCTCTTACCCTTTGGGTATACACTCCTCAGCTAAGGGCAATAGAAATTTCTACTTGTTAGAAGCTGCACTGATTTTTCATTACTTTTCATTCTTTTATCAGTTTTGCTTGGAGCTGTGAACTAGGATTTGTGATCTGAGAATGACTTATGGACTTTGAAACAGCCTGTGGTAAAAAGAAAAGACCAAACAAACTTTGTTTGAGAGACCAGGCCTGGAAGCTAATTGAAGGCTGATTCTGAATTCAAAGGGTTCCAACAGACAGTGACTCTGGGAATTGCATTGTGTTCAAACAGATACCTGAAGGTGACTATTAATGAGATCAGTACCTGGGAATTGGTTTCAACAAGTCTGGCAGAGACCCAATATTCAAGAACATGGCAGTTATTGAGGCTTCAGAAGGAGCAGATCAGTTTAACAGGGCAGAACCAAAACTGAAGTTGTTTTTGAATTGCGTTTTCTGAGAGATAAACTTGGCTACTGACAGCATGACGTTTTGAAAGATCCTTGCCTAATCTGCCGTATCAACTTTAGAAAGCCCATAGGATAAGAAAGCCGAGTTAGAAATATTGCTGCCTTTGCCTGGATGAACTAAGAAGGTGACCCTGATCAGCAGTTTCGAAAAAGCAAAGAGTACACATCTATGCCTGTGAAACAATGCATCATGAATACTATTTAAGTAATCAGGCCAGTTTAACTGCGTTTGTTTGTCTGTCTGTCTTTGTGTGAATGGGGCTGAAAACAAAGGTTTCGGGTTTGAAGTATAGACATTAATTAGATTACAGTGTTGTTTAATTTTCTTTCCACTAAAATTATTTTGTTTTTAATAAATAGTTAAGGTTTTTAAGGTTCAAAACCAATATCTGGAAATTAATTATTCACAAAGTCTGGGATTGGTTATTCAAAAGTCTGGTTCCGAACTGTTGGAGTGACCACTGGGGATCTTAGACAATTTAATTTTACTGTGTTGTAAATACAAAGGTAGAAAGGCTGATTTTGTTTGACTATCTGTCTCCATGTCATAACACACTCCATAGCTCCCTCAATTTCATTCACTTCTATTAGGCCCTCCATTCAGTTTGTTGTAGTAAGAGCTATTGAAAGTAAACACAAGAAATATTGGCAATAGCAGATCAAGGATCATCTGTGGTGACAAACAGAAGTAACATTTCAGATTGATAATCTTTCACTAGAATCTGAACTACCCAATCTTTCCTCAAAACTAAATTTTGTCAGTCCAGACAACATCCTGATTAACCTCCTCCGTACCCTATCCAATGCTATCATATTTTCCCATAGCATGGTGACCAAAGTTATATGCAGTAATCAGCAATGTCATATGTTTTATGCAGTGTTTTGTACATTCCCAACTCTACTTCCCAGTTCCTACACTCTATACCTCCGCTAATAAAAGTAAGTATCCCATATAAGATAACAAGGTGTAGAGCTGGATGAACACAGCAGGCCAAGCAGCATCATAGGAGCAGAGAGGCTGACGTTTCGGGTCTAGACCCTTCTTCAGAAATGGGGGAGGGGAAGGGGGTTCTGAAATAAATAGGGAGAGAGGGAGAGGCGGATAGAAGACGGATAAAGGAGAAGATAGGTGGAGAGGAGACAGACAGGTCAAAGAGGTGGGGATGGAGCCAGTCAAGGTGAGTGTAGGTGGGGAGGTAGGGAGGGGATAGGTCGGTCCAAGGAGGACAGACAGGTCAAGGAGGCAGGATGAGGTTGGTGGGTAGGAGATGGGGGTGGGGCTTGAAGTGGGAGGAATGGTTAGGGAAGCAGGGACGAGCTGGGCTGGTTTTGGGTTGTGGTTGGGGGAGGGGAGATTTTGAAGCTTGTGAAGTCCACATTGATACCCTTGGGCTGCAGGGTTCCCAAGCGGAATATGAGATGCTGTTCCTGCAGCCTTTGGGTGGCATCGTTGTGGCACTGCAGGAGGCCCAGGATGGACATGTCGTCTGAGGAATGGGAGGGGGAGTTGAAATGGTTCGCGACTGGGAGGTGTAGTTGTTTGTTGCAAACCGGGTGTAGGTGTTCCACAAAGCGGTCCCCAAGCCTCCGCTTGGTTTCCCTGATGAAGAGGAGACCACAACAGGAGCAAGTGCTAAACCTGCCCCTACACCTCCCCCTTCATCCCATTCCAGGCCCTAAGAAGACCTTCCACATCAAACAGATGTTCACCTGCAAACTGCTAATGTGGTATACTGTATCCACTGTTCCCGTTGTTATGCATCTCATATTGGGAACACCACCTCACGCAAGTTCCCTTCCAAGCCACTCACCACCCTGACTTGGAAATATATCATTGTCTCTTCAGTGTTGTTGGGTCAAAATCTTGAAATCCTTTCTGAACACCATTGTATGTCTACCTATAGCACATGGACTGCAGACGTTCAAGAAAACAGCTCACCACCACCTTCTCAAGGAAGCTAGGGACAGGAAATAAATGCTGGCCAGCCAGTGATGCCCATGTCCCAAGAGTGAATAAAAAAAGTTCTCTCTTGTTGGAGATATCATTTGCCTGATTCCTATGTTGTGTAAATGTAACTTGTTACTTATCAGTCCAAGCCTGAATCTTATCCATATCTTACTGCTTCTGAACACAAAGCATCTCAGGGAATGCAAACGGAGTTCAACATTGTGCAATCATTAGTGAATGTCTTCGCTTCTGACCATTTGATGGAGAGGAGGTCAGTGATGGTTGAGCCAAGGACATTACCCTGGGGAACTCCTGCTGAGATTTATTAATACAGTAACCTTACACAGCAAAGTTAAACAACAAGGTAATCTAATTAATGTCTGTAATTTAATCCAAATTTTTTTTTATTCTAGTCCCCACTCACAAAAACAGACACAGTAAGGGATAAATTGAAGAAAAATAAAGAAAACGTAACTGTCCAGTTCAGTTGAACTGTTTCCACCATCTGTAATATCACAGACACATGCCATTGTATCTTAGAGATAGTAGGAACTGCCGATGCTGGAAAATCTGAGACAAGAAGGTGTAGAGCTGGATGAACACAGCAGGCCAAGCAGCATCAGAGGAGCAGGAAAGCTGATGTTTTGGGTCTAGACCCTTCTTCAGAAATGGGAATGGGAATGGGAAGAGGACTCTGAAATAAATAGAGACAGGAGGAGGCGATGATGGAAGGTGGATAATCCCTGATTCCCTGGAGAATCTTTAACTCTGGATAATAAAATGTGCTCGTATTGTATGTCTATTGGTGTGAATTGATTCTCTAGACAAAATAAGAAAAAGCTGGAATTTTGAAACGTTAGAAGCATTACATTCTTTGAAAAAAAGACTGCTGCTCACAGTCCACAGGTCACCTTCAGCCTACATTTCCAAACCATATAAAGAAAATTTTTTTAAAAATCATGCAAGTCTCAACACAACTGACATGGGATATTGCTAGGGCCCCTTCATACCAAAGTCGGTCAATCGCACCTTGATTGTAAGAGAGAGAATACTCAGGGAGTTACTGTTTTTCTGGCTCTGTCTCTACATATCTGGGTTTAACTTATCAGCCGTGGTCTCTTTTTTCTACTTTTAATCAGTAAGTCAAAACTTCACCTTCTCCTTTACTATATAGTGCATTCATCATGGAACAGCTTTAGTGAGAATACTGAAACTAGTTTACGATAATATTTTGTTTCTGATTGACATATAACAGACATTACTGAGATTCTTTTACTCTGATTCAATAACATAAATAAGATGACTTTGTACCTACAGCAAAGAAACATGCTTACTCAATTATCATCAGTGCTACAATGTTAGACAATTACATCAAACAAAGTATGTAATAAAGCACTTCTAGTTGGAACTAACCTGTCGTCCTAGTTGCAAAAGGACTTCCTGGATAATGGCTTTGACTGTTGTCTTGATACTTACAGGAATGGAGATATAAGCTACTCCAAATCTGAAACATGAAAACAGGTTTGAACTAACAAATTAACATATAAAAAGATGAAATATTAACTGTCAATGAAACCTCGAAGAAAATTAGGGATGGGTAATAAATGCTGGCCCAGCCAGTAATATCCACAGTCATAAATGACTAAAACAAAAAATCATAGAATTTAGTTGGAAACTGATGCATGTATGGTCAATTACTTTCAAAAATAAAAAAAAAAATTGTAAATTAAACAGACTTTCAAATTTAGATCTTTTAAATAATATTTCAAGAAAAAAGTCTGCATCCCTTCTATAGTTTAAGTTTTGTTAAAGCATAAATATCAGTACAATAGGGTTTGACCTTCAATAAATTTATGCACCTCCCCACCTGCTTCCAAGCTTCTATTTACACTTTGAGACCTGGGTGAAGACCAAAATTTATTAACAGGAACTTCACTGTCCAGTGACAGCTTCTCGCAAACAAGCACCACAAGAAGAGGTGATGTTTCCAAGTACATATCCAGCAGGAACTGCATTTCTGGAGCTACTGAGAATCTGGATCTTTATATTAATTGTAAAAAAAATCCTTACAACCCCACTTTTATGCTCACTTTAAGCTACAGTGCTGGAAATCTCTCACCATTACACAAACAGTATGTGTTGATATGGCAGATTTAGAAAGCAGTATACCTCCTGCTACTTTAATTCAGTAATGTGTCTCAGTTCCCAACTCAAAGTGTAGCATTTCGACGTTTTCAATTGACTCAGCAGTTGACCCCAAGTGAGATTGCTACCTGTCCCAATTTACGGACAATTCTGTTTCATAAAGATTTGTCTCTCGTGTCCGACAGGCAACAGACAGGGTAACCGTTTGTCCAGGATAAATTTAATCCATGGTCTAGGACTCGAAGACTTCTTTTTAATCTTTGATGCAAATCTGGAGATCGCTAGCCAGGCAAGTATTTATTGCCCATCGCTAATTCATTTCGGCCATTTCGGAGTAACAGATAAGAGTCAACCACGTTGCTGTGGGTCTCGAGTCACATGTAGGCCAGACCAGGTAAGGATGGCAGATTTCCTTCTCAAAAAGTACAAGGGTTCCAGATGGATACATAGAGCAATTGACAATAGTTGTCATGATCCATTGTACAGACTGGCTTTAGATTTCAAATTATTAATTGCATTTTAAATTCCACACACTGCCGTGGTCAGATTTAAACCCATGTCTCCCAAAACTTTAGCTTGGCCTTCTGTATTGCTAGCCCAGTGGCACCACCATTACATCACCATCACTCCAGTTACTGCTTAATCTATTGCATGACTCTGCAGATTGGACTGGCTCTTGTGCTATCAGCAAACACCAGCCATATTATTTGAACATCTGTTTACCTGTAACAGGCAACTTACTTTAACCATCCTGGATAAATTTTGACTATTTCACAATCTCTTGGCTTTGCACGTAGTACCCATGCCTCGGGGATTGTACCTCGGAACACTGACAAATTCTTGCTTTCCATACTGCCTCCATTTCGGTTAATAATGTCATCACTGTAGAGAGCATCTTGGGTAAACGTTTGGAGCTCGTATTCCTGAGGATCATCTGGGATGTAGTACGCTCTCAGTGCAGCTTCCTATTAAAGTGGAATTTCAGTTAAATCCAAATAAACACATTATTAAACCGTGGGCATAAACCACACACATCACATTTTCTGCTCTCTCACTTCCAAAAGGCATTGAGCAAATAAAAAAAGCTTCAAAGTAAAATCTTAAGTAAAAATTGTTTGAATATAAATTGAATGTAATCCTTCAGGTTTAGCTTTGAAAAATAAATTTGTTTACTATTGGGAGAACAGAAGAGAAAATAGTATTGGAATTTAGACAAATGGGGGGAATATTATAGAAACATATAAAATTATGAAAGAAATAGATAAGAAAGGAGCAGGAAGGTTGTTTCCACTGGCAGGTGAAACTAGAACTAGCCTCGCCTCAAAATAAGGGTGAGCAGGTTTAGGACTGAGCTGAGGAAGAACTTCTTCACCAAAAGGGTTGTGAATCTGTGGCATTCCCTGCCCAGAGAAGCAGTTGAAGCTACCTCATTGCATGTTTTTAAGGCAAAAATTGATAGATTCTTGAACAGTAAAGGAAATAAGGGCTATGGTGAATGGATCGGTGAGTGGAGCTAAGTCCATGAAAAGATCAGCCATGTCCTTATAAAATGGCAGACCAGGCCCGATGGGCCAAATAGCCTACTCTTGCTCCTATTTCTTATGCTCTTATGAAAAGATGTGACTAGCTCCTGTGTGGTAAGGTTCTAAGATTCCTTCACATAGTCATCATATTTCTGTAAAAAGTTTTTTAAAAATTCAACCTTGACAACGAGTGGTAAATGAACAAGTTTGAGTTATTGCAATTGTTTTGTATTTTGCGGTTGTCCTTCACAGATCATGAGTTGCATATCTTGATGTGGTGAAGGATGGTCCAAATAACACAACATTCGTTGGCACAAATGAACAAGAGCAGGCCATTCAGCCCCTTGAGCTGATCAATCACCTCAACATCATAATCCTGTACTATCCCCATACTCCTTTGTGTCATTAGCAACTAGAAACCTCTTGAGCTCAGTCTTAAACATACTCAATCACTAAATTTCCATAGTCGTCTCAGGTGCACAGTTCCACCCTTCATTCCTTTTTGAAGAAGTCTTAGTCTTAAAAATACTCATTCTTAAATTATTTGCCCCTTACTCTGAGACTGCTTCCTAGTTCGAGAGCACATCACATGTCCTCCTTCCTAGCCAGAGGGAACACCCCATGAAAATAATCAAAATCCAAATGTACCCACTCACTAGTTCCCCCTCAACTAGATTGAGAGTAACATTCTCAAAAATAAAATCACAAGTTTGCCAAATAATATCTGGCTTTCATAAATCCATGACGATTCTGTTCAATATTAACATTCTTTTCAAAATGTCCGGCAGTCATATCTTCCCAAATAGATTCCAACATTTTCCCACTAGGGATATCATGATGACAGGTTTATAGTTCTTCACAGCCCTCCCTTCTTAAATACATCTGTTACTTCACAGCCTGCAGGGATCTTTCCAAAATCTATAAAATTTGGAAAGATAAGCATGAATGCATCTACTATAACTCTAGTCAACTCCTTAAAAAGTCTGGGGTGAGGCTCATCTGGTCCTAGGCATCCATCAACCTTCAATCATAACTTCTTTACTAATACTAATTTCTTCTATTCCTCAATTTAATGGTCCCTTGGTCATCTTGTATTTCTGGGAGATTTTCTGTATCTTCATCTGTAAAGACAGGTGCAGTTTTTTTAAAATCATTCATGGGATGTGGACATTGCAGGCTAAGCCAGAATTTATTGCCCATTCTTAGTTGCCCTCGAGAAGGCAGTGGTGAGCTGCCTTCTTGAACTGCTGCAGTCCATCTGCTGTTGGTAGACCACATTGCTATTAGGGAGGAAGTTCTAGGATTTTGACCAAATGACACTGAAGGAATGGCAATATTTCCAAGTCAAGGTGGTGAGGAGCTTGGAGGAGATGGTTCCTTCATGTATTTTCTGCCTTTGCCCTTCTAGATGGTAAGGTTGCTGGTTTGGAAAGTGTTGCCTGAAGAGCTTTAGTGAATTTCTGCAGTGCATCTTGCAAATGGTACACTGCTGCTGAGTCTCAGTGTTGACAGTGTGGATGTGGTGTTAATCAAGGGGATTGTGTTCTCTTGGATGGTGTCAAGCTTGAGTGTTGATGGAACTGAACTCATCCAGACAAGTGGGCAGTACTTCATCATAATCCAGACATGAGCCTAGTAGATAGTGGATAGGGTAGATAGTGGGGAGTCAGGAGGTGGGTTACTTGCTTCTCCAACCTCTGACCTGCTCTTGTAGCCACATTATGCATACGGCTGATCAGTTTAGTTTCTAGTTTCTGGTAACTGCAAGGATGTTGACAGTAGGGGATTCCGCAATAGTAATGCTATTGAATGTCAAGGGATGATAGTTAGATTCTCTTCTTGAAGATGGTCATTGCTGTTTCTCAGTCCAAAGCCGGATACTTTCTAGATCTTGCTGTTTTTGAACATGGACTGCTTCGGTATCTAAGTCAAAAGTGGCTGTAACCATTCTGTAATCATTGGCGAACATCCCCACTTTTGACCTGATTATGGTTAGAAGGTCATTGATGAAGCAGCTGAAAATAGTGGAGCCTGGGAAATGGCCCTCAGTAACTCATGCACAGATAAAATGGAGTTGAGATGACTGACTTACAACAACCGTAACCATCGTCCTTTGTACTGCGTATGACTTCAACCAATGAAGAACACCCCTTACCACCAATTCCCATTCCCAATTACTTGACTTTTGGTCGGTCTCTTTTATGGCATACTCAGTAGAATGCTGCCTTTATGTTAAGGGAAGTCACTCTCAGCTCACGTCCCCTCTGCAGTTCAGCTCTTCTATCCATGTTGAACCATGGATATAAAGAGGTCAAGAGATGAGTGGCCCAGGAGGCTCCCAAAGAGCAACTGGGTCTTTCCTTTCCAAGTGCTGCTCGATAGCACTGTCAATGACCCCCACTGACCTGGAGTTTGCGCACGAAGCACACCTGGACAATTTTCCACATTGTTGGGTTGATATCATAGCTATTACAGAATAGCTCAGGGAGGGGCAGGACTGGTGTATTAGCTTTACTGAAACAGCTTGGTATGGGCGTGGCTAGTTCTGGAGTATACGTTTTCAGTCTATCATTAGGGATATTGTCAGGATTCATAGCTTTTGCAGTAATCGGTATTGCAGTCATTTTATTTATATCGCATGCAGTGAATCAATTTTGCATCTGTGATGCTGGGGACCTCAGCAGCAGGCTGAGATGGAGTTCCCTCTCAGCACTTCTGAGTGAAGATAGATGCAGATATTTCAGTCTTATCTTTACATGAATGTTCTGATCCCCTCAATCATGGAAGATGAAGATATTTGAGAAGTCCTACCCTTTGTTAGTTGTTTAACTATCCATCACCATTCATGACTGGATGCTGCACAACTGCAGAGCTTAAGTACAATTCACTGCTTGTGGATTTGTCTGGCCTTGTCGACTGCATGCCATTTTTGCTGTTTGGTACGCAAGTAATCCTGTGTTGTAGCTTCACCAGGTTGACACTTCATTATTAGGTATGCCTGCTGCTGGTCCTGGTTTGTCCTTCTGAACACTTCATTGACCCAAGGCTTATATCCCAGGCTGATGGTAATAGCTATGTTGGAATATGCAAGACCATGAAGTTATAGATTTTGGTTGAAACAATCCTATTGCTACCATTGGCACACAGTGCCTCATGGATGCCCAGTTTTGACTTGCTAGATCTGTCTGAAGTCTGTCCATTTAGCACCATGGTGCTGCCACACAATGCAATGTACTGTTTCTTCAATGTGAAGACAGGACTTCATCTCCATGATGACTATGCAGTGGTCACTCCTCCCAATACTGTCACAGACAGCTGCGTCTCTGATAGATAGGTTGGTGAGGACGACGATAAGAAGACTTTTCCTTTTGTTGGTTCACTCACCACATGCTACAAATCCAGTTTAGTAGCAATGCCCTTTAGGATTCAGCCAGTTTGGACAGTGGTGGTGGTCCTGAGCTGTTCTTGTTGAAAGGCATTGAAGTTCCTCATCTAGAGTATATTCTGTGCCTTTGACATCCTCGGAGCTTCCTTCAAGTACTGTGCAACATGGAGGAGTACTAATTCATCAGCTGAGGAGGGGCACTAGGTGGTAATCAGTAAATTTCCATGTCATATTTGACCAGATGCCATGAAAAATATGAGGAGGCCAAACTGTACACCATAACCCAGATGTGGCCTGAACAAATGTCCTGTAACAAAAGAACTCTGTCTCATTCCATTCTTCTTACTGTAAATGACAACATTTTATTTGCCTTCCTTCAACCCTGTTTGACTCCACTGTAGATCTGAGAGAGTTTGGATATTTACTGAATTTACTCATCATGTTGCCAATAAAAGAGAAAATCATATTCAGCAGCTTCAGTGGGAAGCCAATTTTCTCCAACAGCTTATGATTTTTTTTAAACAATAGTGGTTATATGGCCACCATTAGGCCAGATGTGTTTCTGAATAAAATTCAAATTTCACTATCTGCCACAGTGGAATTTGAACCCATGCTCCCAGAACTTTACCCTGGAACTTGGCATTATTTATCCAGTGACATGACCACTACTACACCACCTCCTCCTCGCTTCTCTTTTACAAGACCATGTCTACAAGGATGACTTTGGACTAGGTTTTGGTGACATGTTCTAATCCTTCTTCAACTCAGTGTTCATTTTCTTCTTTCTTCAGTGAAGCAGGAATCGCTTGTTCCGTGTTGAACGTGCTATATAAATGCAAATTGTGGTTGCTGCAGTATGAAACAGATCAACCTCATAAGGGGTCAGCCAATTAGGACAATGATGAGACATTTATTCACTGTAAGATTTATGGATCTTTGTAAATCTCTACCCCAGAGAGCTACAGACTTTCAGGTATGTAAGACAGAGATTGACATTTCTGAATAGTAAAATTGCAGATTTATTACAGTGCAGAAGGAGACCCATTTGGGCCATTGTGTCTGCACCAACTCTCTAAATATTTTGACTTTTTGCCAATCTCCTGCCTTCCTCTTGTGATCCTGCACATTGGATAATTATTTAAATAGAAACAATGTCTTCTTGAATACTTCAATTGAGCCTGAATCCACTACATTTCCCAGATGTTCCAGACCCTAATTACTTGCTATGTGAAAGGTTTTTCCCACCTTATTTTTTTTCTCTAATAGAATGATAGAGATAAACAGCACAGAAACAGATCCTTTGGTCCAACTCATCTATGCCGACCAGACATCCCAATCTGACCTAGTGCCATCTGCCAGCATTTGGCTCATATCCCTCAAAAGCCTTCCTAATTATATACCCATCCAGATGCCTTTTAAATGTAATTGTACTCGCCTCCACCGTTTTCTCTGGCAACTCGTTCCATACACGCACCACCCTCAGTGAAGAAATTATCCCTCAGGTCCTTTTTAAATCTTTCCCTTCTCACCTTAAACCTATATCCTCTAGTTTTGGACACTGCCACATCAGGAAAAAGACCTTGGATATTCACCCTATCTATTCCCCTCATTACAAATATTTATAAGGTCACCCCTCAGCCTTTGATGCTCCAGGGAAAAAAGCCCCAGCCTATTCAGCCTCCCTAAATAATTCAAACCCTCCAGACCTAGCAACGTCCTTCTAAGTCTTTTCTGTAGCCTCTCAAGTTTAACAACATCCTTCCTATAGAAGGGTGATCAGAATTGTATATAGTATTCCAAAAGTGGCTCAACCAATCTCCTGTACAGCCACAACATGACATACCAACTCCTGTACTCATGTTCTGACCAATGAAAGCAAGCGTGCCAAAAGCCTTCTTCACCAACCTTTCTACCAGCAATTCCACTTTAAAGGGACTATGCTCCTACTCTCCGAGGTCTCGCTATTCAGCAACATTCTCCAAGGTCCTACCATTTATTGTGTAAGTGCTACCCTGGCTTCCCTCACCAAATTGCAAAATCTCACGTTTATCCAAATTAAACTCATTTGCCAATCCTCAGCCCATTGGCCCATCTGATCAAGGTCCATTTGTACTTTGATATAATCTTCTTTGCTGTCCACTACACCACTTATTTTGTTGATTTCTGCAAACTTACTAACCACGCCTCCTCTATTCACATCTAAATAATTATCATAAATGACAAAAGCAGTAGACGCAGCACTGATTCTTGTGGCACATCACTGGTCACAACACTTCAGTCTGAAAAGCAACCCTGTACTACCACCCTTTGTCTCCTACTTCAAGCCAATTTTGTATCTAATTAGCTAGCTCCCCCTGGTTTCCATGTGCCCTAACGTTACAGACTAGTCTACCATGCAGAACCTTGTCGAACACCTTGCTGAAGTCCATATAGACAATGTCTGCCGCTCTGCCCTCATCAATCTTCTCTGTCACTTCTTGAAAAAACTCAATCAAGTTAGTGAGACACGATTTCCCATGCACAAAGCTAAGTTAACTATCCCTAATCAGTACTCGCCTTTCCAAATACATGTAAATGCTGCCCCTCAGAATCTCCTCCTGTAACCTACCCATCACCTGATGTAAGGCTCACTGGTCTATAGCTCCCTGGCTTTTCCTTGCAATCTTTCTTAAATAATTGCACCACATTAGCCAACCTCCAGTCTTCTGGCACCTCACCTGTGCCTGTTGATGATACAAATATCCCAGCAACAGGTCCAGCAATTCCTTCCCTACCTTCCCACACAGTTCTAGAATCATAGAAACATGATCAGCTCCTGTGGAGTTAGCCACCTTTATGCATTTTAAGACCTCAAGCACCTCCTCTTCTGTAGTATGAACTCCTTTCAAGATATCACTATTTATTTCCCCAAGTTCTCTAGCTTCCACGTCTTTCTCCACAGTAAATACTGATGCAAAATACTTGTTTAGTATCTCGCCATCTCCTGTTGCTCCACACATAAATGGCCACGTTGATCTTTAAGGGGCCTTATTCTTTCCCTAATTACTCTTTTGCGCTTGATATACTCGCAGAATCTTTTTGGATTCTCCTTAACCCTATTTGCCAAAGGTATCTCATGTCCCCTTTCTGCCCTCCTGATTTCTTTCTTAAGTAAACTCCTATTGTCTTTATACTCCTGTAGGGATTCACTCGATCCCAGCTTTCTATACCCGACATATGCCTCCTCCTTACTCTTGACCAGAGTCTCAACTTCTCTAGTCATGCAACATTCCCTGCACCTATCAGCTCTGCCCTTCACACCAGCAGGAACACAGAATGTCTGAACTCTTGTTATCTCATTTTTAAAGGCCTCCCACTTCCCAACTGCCCCCTTACCCATGAATAGTCTCCCACAATTAACTTTTGAAAGTTCCTGTATAATACTGTCAAAATTGGCCTTAATCCAATTTGTAACCTTTAACTTTTTGATCAGTTCTATCCTTTTCCATAACTATTTTAAAACTAATATAATTATGATCACTGGCCCCAAAGTGCTCCCCTACTGATACCTCAGTCACTTACACTGCCTTATTTCCCAAGAGTGGGTCAAATATTGCTCCTTCTCTAGAAGATACATCGACATACTGAATATGAAAGTTTTCTTCTACACACTTAACAAATTCTCCTCCATCTAAGCCCTTAACACTGTGGCAACCCCAGTCCATGTTTGGAAAGTTAAAATCCCCTACCATTACAACCCTATTATTCTAACAGATATCTAAAACCTTGAAACATATTTGCCCCTCAAATTCTTGATGACTAATGGGAGGTCAATAATACAATTCTAACAAGTAGATTATCCCTTTCTTTTTTTCTCAGTTCCACCCATATAACTTCACTCAACGATCTCCCAAGAATATCTTCCCAAAACACAGCCATAATGTTAATCCCTAACCAATAACACCACTCCCCCCTCTCTCTTGCTGTCCTTCCTACTGTATCTATACCCTAGAACATTGAGCTACCAGTCCTGCCCCTCCCTGAGCTATTCTGTAATAGCTGTGATATCCCAGTCCCATGTTC